TTTTTTTTTGGTTTTTCTCCGGTACCGGGAACCGAACTCACGACCTTGCGCATGCCAGGCAGGCGCTTTTGCCGCTGAGCTAAATCTCCAGCCCCAACATGTTCTTATTTTTATCTCCTCATCTCTTCCTCTGTTTCCTGGCTGACATGTGGTGAGCAGTATTCCTCTGACAGGCCCTTCCACCATGCCTTTCTGCCTTGGAGGCAATGGAAATGGTCTGAATTTTCTGAAAGCAATAATCCTAATAATCCTCTCCATCTTTAAGTTGCAGGTGTCAAGTATTTTGCCCCAGAATCAAGCAAGTGATGAATAAAGAAACTAGGTACTGAAAGTGGGGCTGTTATATGACTGTACGTGACCATGTGGTTCAGAACTGTTTGGAAATGGTTTACAAGAGCAGACAGTAATGGATTGGAGAGGATACCTCGGGATCATTAGAATGCTATAAGCAGAGGAAGCAGATATTGATGTGGTATGCTGATCAGAACTCAGAAAACCAGAATGGTGATAGGTATGTGGACCTCAAAGGCCAAGTTCAGGAGGTTTCAGTTGGAAACACAAACTCCATTGGCAGTTGGAGTGCAGGGCCCATGTGTTACACCCTGAAAGAAAATTTGATATCATTTTTCCCATTCCTGAAACTTTGCTGGAAACTTCTATTAAGAAAGTAGACTAATTATCTGGTACAGGAAATTTCAAAGCATCCCAACATTCAGGCTATGGCATGAATACTATTGGATGCTTTTAGCCATATCAACAGTGAAAAGCAGGAGCAAAATGCAGATGTGAAAAGTTTGCAGTTTCAAGAGAGAGAAAGGACCTGCAAAGTTAAAGCTTTAGGGATCATGGTTGCAGAAAATATTAGTATTTTAAAAAGCCAAATATTTTGGACCAGGACAGTAGGAAAGATGGCATAACGAAATGTCAGGAATCAACAAGACACCACACTTTTCAGGTTCAGTCATACTGTCTTTCATTTTAAAAGAGAGCCCTTGGGCCTCCTGCTCCAGAGGGCTTTCTAGAAAATTGATTCTTTGAGATTCATTTGATAGTACTCAGCCATCCAAGTATGCAAGACCTCTATAGTCATGATTCAAGGGGCCCTGATTACTGCTTGAGCTTTTGGAAGACTTTGGTGTCACAGTCATGATGCTGATTTTATAGGCATGAAGAATGCAAGAGTTATGGGTAATTGGAGGCTTCTACTCAAAATTCAAAAGAAGGCCTGGGAGGCTAGGTAATGTGTCCCTGAGAGGGGGAAGAAGGGAGGTGTGAGCATGAAGCCAAAGTGCAATGAAGAGCCCTGGAAGCTAGAGATGCAGGAATGTGCAAGAATGTGGGCCTTCTACTGAGGGAACCCACTAGCAGGGGGAGGAGTCAGCCTAAGAAAATGGCCATTTGGGCTACAGCCATCAAAGCCATAAGGCTGGGGCCACCCAAGACATTTGAAGCTCACATCTCTGTACTACTTGCCCCAGTTGCTGGGCACAAAGCCTTAGGATTTAATGGGTGCCCCATTTTTTAAATCTTATTTTGGTCTGCAACCTCATCTTAACAGTAGCCCTTATACTCAGTTATTGATGAATTCATTTTTCTAGGTAGCATAGAGGTAGAAGATAAAAGGGAATGAGGAGAGAATCCTTGAAAATATAAGTTTTGGGGCACAGGGTGCAAGGTGGGGAGTGGAAAACAGAAGAAGAGGACCAAGTAGCTTTTCCAGGATAGCTGGAAGCTCAAAGTGGGCTCCAGTCCCATGCATGTGTTGGCAGGGAAGGCAAGGTCATAAAGCTCTTACCAACAGTGGCCTTGCTGTGGGGCCTCCAAGCAGGAAGCAG